CACTCACTCACTCACTCACTCACTCACTCACTCACTCACTCACTCACTTACTCACTCACTCACTCACTCACTCACTCACTCAGTGTGTGTGGGTGCGATTGCAGCCTGGCCCTGTGGTCGGTCGGAGGTGTGGTGCGATGCACAGCATGTGCAATATTGACTTTGGTTTCCATGGAGCTCCTGGTGTACTTCCTGTTTTCAGAGCTGGAAAGCAACTCCATGATCAATCTCCATAACTCCACAGCTGCCGTTCATCCCGGTCCATTGATGCAGCTTTCAAAGCTCACAAAAACAACAAATGTCCAATCAAACTGAACGCTCCTTTGGAATGTGTCTCCTTCCTTCGAGGTCAAGTTGACTGACCGTCGCACATCTACAACTGTTTGGCTTAAGGAACCGGGAAAATACATCACCGTCAAGCCAAACCAGCAAAACCAGGACGTTCAGCAAGCTACGCACAAGTTGGCCAAACAAGCTGAACACCGAACATCAACTAGCAAAAAACTTGAGGCCGAGGGTAGGTGACGAAAGCTAGCAGGGGTGCATCCGGACTGGTGGGACATCAAGCGGAGTGAGGCAAATGCTCATGAGGTAAAACGTTGTGAACATGTAAGACACACAAACAGCAATGACACAGCCAACCTTAGAATTGAAGTCCCCGATAATTAAGGAAGCGTGGCTGGACTTTGCCACACTGTTCGATGCATCCGATGTGTTCACGAACCTGTGAGCTTGTTGAATCTGTTGCACCGTATCCATCCGTATCCCAAAACCTCCACGGAGGAGTTGAACCAGTGTGGATGCCATAAGAGGTGCCCAAGAGGTGTCCCAGAGGCAAAACAAAGCTGCTTGCATGATTTGTTTGGTTTCTTCTATCGATGTCGATGTCATGAACATGTGAGCTTGTTGAATCTGCTGTTGGATCGTCATGTATATGTAATGAGGGACTGAAGAAAAGCAACGCAGCATCATGAGCATCACGGGAAGTCACAAACCAGGCGTATCAGATACACCTGGTTTATGTATGTTTGTTTGAGCATCTTTGTCGAGTGAAGTGTCAGCCATATGCACTGAGATGCCGAAGGAAGCTCAAAGGCATGTGTATCTGATATGCCTGGTTTCTGACTTCCCGTGATGCTCATCATTGAAGCCTTGAACCCTCGCGTAAATTTCATGTTTCATGCCCCCCCTTCCAAACTCAAACAGTGGCCTACTTCACCTGCCACCTAAACATAGCACTATAGCACGTACCGGAAGCGTCCCAGGGGGGAGTTGAACCCGCGGGGGGGCGGAGGGGGGGGGGGGAGCCCCCCCTACACGTGAAGTTTTCACGTGATTCATGATTCTCGAGGCTGCGAGCCCTTGACTTGCTAAAGCAAGAGCAACTCCAGCTAGCTGATGCTAGCTTTCGTGACATGTCCAGGTTGACCTTCCAAGTAGTCCATTCTGTTCATTTTCGGTGGTCAACCAGTTTTGAACCATGGCCATATTATATTCATGGGGTGAGAGAGTGGCCTAGTCGTTGGGTTCACAGCTACCAGCTTTCCCAGCCCTGCCACACCGATGGGTGCATCTCTCCTCATCCAAGTCAAAGTCATCGATCGGCGACAAGGGGAAGCTGGACTTCGACATCGCTTCAAAACAACGCGGCCAGCAAATGCACCCCAGCTTTTAAAACGAGAAAGGTTGAACCACTCTTCAAAAGATGTTTATGTTTGGGTGCTTTCTCCACAGCATGGGACTATGTGCCACTCCTTTGCTTCTGAAGCTGCAGCTGGAAGCTTAGGCCTGCATTCACCAGTACTTCATTGATGAATACTAGACTTAGTTTGGAAGGATCCCAATCAGTACGTTTCTCAACTGCCAGAAAAAGGCCGCGTTCTCCTAAGGACGCGTTCTGGAACGCCCCCCAACCGTCCCATCTGGTCCGATCTGAAGAACTTGTGAGCATCTGGACGTTTGCAGTTTCTAACTGGGTCCTTAGTGCCTCCAGCTGGGTGCTTCTATCAAATTTGATGTCACGTTCCTTGACTTCCCTGGTAGTCTTCATCCACGCTACCAGGTAAAACCTAAGGACGAACAAGCTGTCATTTGGCCCTTTGCAAACTGCTGCGGCCGGAAACATATTCCCCAACAACCATGTGCATAGTCGGGACTCAGTCGAACATCAATAGTCAACAAATTTTGTATCTATATACCAATTTCCCACAGCCGATTGGAAATAAATACTGATGAGTCTATGAAGAGTCCCAAGACGAAGAGAAACCGCCAATCACAAAGAGGAATATTGCAAACTGTTGATTGGTGAGAAAAAACACACATACACACATGGAGAACTTTTACAATCCAAATGAGGGCAAATTATGAATCAACGGTCTACACTATTCAAAACATTTATACATTCAAATTTACGTTCTAAACAATGCGTACAATCTACAATGTTCTTTATTGTACATTGACCCCCTAAATGGAAGCGCTTCTCTCCAAACCCAACGGCCCAGTTCTGGCACACAGGGGAATAGACCGAAGTGCTGGAGTGCCCACACGAGCCAAGGCTAAAAAATGAAGCGACAGGAGGCCGTCGCTAGTAGGTTGGAGGCCAAATAATGGAAACGCCATGAGAAAAGAAAACAACAAGTACATCGCTGTTGTTTTTGGAATGTCTCGGGATGCACATGAGCTGCAGTTGGGGTAAAGCCTGCTCCTTTGGTTTCACCTCTGGTTTCTACTACACTCCTGGAACTAACGTGGAAGTGGACAATGGCCCCTTGGACCTTGGAAGACGATTTTCCTCTACGAACGAACCCGTGTTTTTCATGGGTTTTCCACTTTCATGTTCGTTCCAGGGACTGTATCTCTTTAGGGATCTGTGACAGGATCTGTGCCTTGATTGCAGATCACCGATCAATCCACTTTGGCTACGGGCTGGCTCTTCACCACCGCCGGCAGTATGTGATCTACCTGGGTCAAACGGTTGCAACTTTCTTGAGGTATGTTGAAACGGTTTTTGTGGTTTGCTTCACGGTCCCATTAACTGCGTCCCATTAACTGCAGGGGTAGGGAAGTGGCCCAATATGCTGAAATGGTTTCAAAGGATGGAGGGATTTTCCCACCCAATCGGTCTGCGAAGCACATTGGCAGCTTATGCAAGTTTGCATGCTTTCCCAAGTGGAAAAGGTTGAAGTCCCCCGACAGCGCCAGGGGTGGTTTCACCTGTACCTAGTACCCTATATATCCCTAAATCCTACCAGGACGAAGAACATTATAGGACCGGATAACCGCACATGTTAACAACTTCACCAGACACAGGAGCGGACAATTGGTGGTTGGTTCGTGGTTGGTGGTTGATTGTGGTTGGTTGGTGGTTGGTGGTTGGTGGTCGGTGGTTGGGGTGCGGGAAGAGGAAGCGGAAAGCCGAGCGGAGACACGAGCACGCAAGACACACCGGCAGAGCGTCCCGCACCTGCCACGCAAATCAGACCGGCACAGCTGCGGCGACCCAGCGACCTCAGGGCGTACATCCGACCCCTTGGAGAGCAGCAAGTACCGCGCCTGCCACGCAAATGCCAGAGCGTACAGAGCGGCGGTGACAATTGGTTGGTAGCAGTTTGTGGATGAAAGTTTTTGGTGACAATTGGTTGGTGGCAGTTGGTTGGTAGGTTGGTAGCAGTTGGTTGGGCAATTATAGTTGGTGGCGATTGGTTGGTGCCAGTTGGTTAGTGGCAGTTAGTTGGTGGCAGGTGGGTTGGTGGCAGTTTGTGGGTAGAAGTTTGTTGGTGACAATTGGTTGGTGGAAGTTGGTTGGTGGCAATTGCTTGGTAGCAGTTGGTGGATGCAAGTTGGTTGG